GGCCCACCAGCATGTATATAACCATGATGCCAGGCCCATAATCGCCAGACGACCAGGAAGACATCACAGGTGACCAGGAAGACCCTGAAGAGTTGTAAGACTGCATTGTCTCTGAAAGACCCTGAAGAGTTGTAACACTGCGTTGTCTCCATGCTGTACCATGCTGCCCACAATAAACGGACGACCCTGAAGACACTGTGTTGTCTCCGTGTAGTAACACTGTGCTGCTTGTCCCAGTTCTCACTCCTTACCTTAGGAAACCTGTTTGACTGTCCCCCTAGGTCGGGACAGTGCACGGTGACTCTCCAGATGTGTACACCTACTATAATCCTACGTTCCTAACATCCCTATCAACATTGGGTTGACTTCCTGACAAAATTTCAAAAATGTATTTTGAGGTAGTGGTTAAGGTGCTGGACTCCCACATGGTCGACTGTGGTTCAAATCCCGGACCCGGTGGCTTGAAGCCAATCATGGCTTTTGGCATTGTGTAATTGTTTGCTTTCTGAGAAACCCAGGATATTCACTGGTGCGCAGCCTCCCACGGTGCACTGTAGATCAAAACTATATATTTTGGGGAACCAGCAGTTAGCGTAATGGCTATGTGGCTGGACTCCCACATGGTGGACCGTGGTTCAAATCCCGGACCCGGCGACTTGAAACCCACACCAGGCGCATGTCCATTCGTGCACAAGATCCCCAGAGGAGAATGGAGGAGGAGGGATTGTGGCATGGCCATACCCCCTGGGGGGTGATTTCTCGCTTTCTGTCTCTCTGTCTGTCTGGCGAGCTCACGCGCACTATAGCGAAAACCTCTCAAAAAAAAAAAAAAAAAAAAACCTATATATTTTGGGGGCCAGCAGGTGGGGTGGAGGTTAAGGCACTGGATCTCACATGGCTGTCTTCATGGTTCGAGCCCCAGACCCTGGAAGCTTAGAAGTGATGTCAGACACACGTGTGTGCATGTGTGCCCAAAATCCAGAGAGCAGAGTGGAGGAGAAGGGATTGTGGCATGGCCATACCCCCTCGGGGTGTGTGTGGGGTGATTTCTCACTTTCCCTTCTCTCTCTGTCTCTGTCTGTATCTCTTGGCAAGCGCATGTGCCCTATAGCAAAAACGAAACCAAAAAAGTCTAGATTTTTAAAGGATTTTAGAAAAAAAGGAAAGGTCCTATGCTAAATGAGAAAAAAATTCAGGAAAAAGATAATGCCAAATTTACCAAAAGTAAGTCATAAATTCACATTATTGTTAGACATTTACTATGTAAATACAACTCTAAAACTAATAAAAATATCCAAAAATGTTGCCAGTAGTTGATACCGAGTGGCAGGACCCAATTGATATTCATTTTCTTCCAGCTCACAAATTGGTTTCAATGACCTTGTACTGCTAGAATATCTGAATCTCAGAATCTTCCTTCCAACCTGAAGGTGAAAGCAAGAAATTTTGGAGGTGCTGTAGCTGAAAAGAAACTCAGACATTGAACTGTAGCTCAGTTTTATTTTTTGCAGAAACAAACATTTTACTCATCTCCCTCCTCCAGCAACAGGGAAACAAAACAAGCGGGCCGCAAGCACCCAAGTGCAAGTACAGGCAAACACTCAGGCTTCAGGAATAAAGTGGCAATTAATCAATTCAGGAGTCAGTGTCCTAGGGAAGGATGCACTGACATGAGACACAAGGTTGGACTTCAGCCCCCCTTCTCTAGCAGAGACTTAGGGGGGAATAGAGGCCCAAAGCGCTGCATGGTCCGCACCACCAGGGAAAGATCATCAAGAAAGGCGATGAAGGACATGTGGAGGAGGTGAGCATCTTCAGCAGTCCATCTACTAAAAGTGAAAGAAAATGAAAATCAGGTTAACAGGGACAACTCTTGTCTGTGCCCAGTGTGCCACACTGCCCTCTTTAGACCTTATTAGACCCTTTAGTCTCCCTATCTCCATTAAAATGCCCTTCCGTTTGATACCTGTTGCCTTGTCCCCGCCCCAGCCCCTTCCAGAACTTACACAACCAGGAAGCTGCCATTCACTGTGAGCTCTCTGTGAACGGCCTGCAGGTGGGGTTCCCCATAAAGAGCCAGGGATCTGCGGGCGACCTCTGCCTCTATGGGATTCAGGAAAGGAACTCTAAGAGTGCTGGAAGAGAACTGGTTAAGGCGCCATCTGCTACTGAGTTTTCCTGTGGTTCAGGCCTCCTTGACCCTCTAGACCCCCTCCCCCGACCAAGCAGTTCTCAGGGTATCCCCAGGCGTCCCCACCCAATCATTTCAGGTGCCCACCCCGCCCCACCCTCCTCCCTGTCCATCTCCTCAGTCTAACCCTGAGGCAATCCATGCCCCCCTCCACTGTCTCCTTAGCCAAGCCTTCTCTTCCTATCCCCCCTCACACCTGCTTCTTCTCCTCCTACATTCTCAGGCTGTCCACACCCCCCTCCTGTCCCTCATGCTACCCTGGCCTCCCCCCCACCCCCTTCTAGGAGTTATTGGTTCCTACCTTGCTCCCCTTTCTGCATCCCCCTGCCCTACTCCGCCCCCTCTCTTGGTCTCCATAATGGCTTCCTCCTAAAGGACACAAATCACGTGGTTGGATTCCTGGTCCTCTGGCTATAGGCACGAGTTCTCCACCTTGCACTGGGGCATGTGCTGGCCTCGGCAAATGGAGAATGCCTTCAGGGTTGGTGGCTACTGCTGCGCCAACGCCACCTGCTGCACCAGCATCACCGGCTGCACCTTCGACATCTTGGCCATCGGGGGCCCCCTGGCCATCAGGGCTTCTGCGGCCACCCTGGTCTTCTGCGCCACCCTCTGCGCCTCCCTCTGCACCACCTGCCCCTGCGTCATCATCGGGGCCCTGCATGGCTGCTGGGCCTTCGCCCTCAAAGCAGCCTCAAGGCCAATCACCCTCCCTGAGAGCTGCTGAGGAAATGAAGCTCCCACACAAAACCCCGCCTTTTTTCCCACAATGCAGCTGGTGAAACCCCACTGCACCTGCGCAAACAGGTCTCTGGGAGACGCCCCGTAGCAGATCCGTTCCCGCCAAATCTGCCCTGCCGCCCAGGCCCTGGGGAGACCCTGTTGGTCTCAGACAGACTGAGGCGCCCTCATGAAGCCACGCCCCTTGGGCATCAGGCACCCTAGGCTTCCCAGAGCATCTGCGCAAACAGGCCCCTAGTGAAGCCTTCTGGAATCCCCTTAGTTCCTGCCCAACCGGCCCTAAGGCTGTGCCAATGCCGGGTTGGGCCAAACTTATGTATGACCAGCCTGCCTTGGAGTCCCATTTCCTGAATACCAGACCTAGGACTCTGTGTGCCTCTCTCGTTTCCCACCTTCATCTTGAGGGGGGGTGGGGGGGATCCTGGAGGACATGGCAGACCACACAACAAACTTGGAGAGGCAATTTGTTGTGTGGTGGGTGGCTGGGTCTCTCTGGGACAAAAGTGGCCAGGCACAGACAGGCTGGGGACAGGGCCCGCTGAACACACTTACTTCACTAGGGCTGAGTAGAGGGTGGCTAGGCATGAGAGATGCTAACAGGAGAAGCTGCCAGGGGCCTGCAATACGCAGGCTTGAGTGCCAGCCTCAGGAGCGTAGATGGTATATAATGTTGGCAGTGGGGAAGTCATTGCAAGTTCACGGTCCGAAGGGAAGGACTAATGAGAAAGATCATGTTCAAACCCTTTCTGTATGTAGGTAGTGTTTCTCCATCAGTTTGTCAATGCCAAGTCACACACTACTATATATACAGTATTTGCACTGTATAGATAACAGTAAATGTAAATAACCCCAAGAACAAAAATATCACTACAATTTAACAAAATACTTAGAACATGATCAGTTCTTACAATATATTCCTGACCTATGTTACTAATGTCATTTACTTAACTAAAAGCTTATGCAATTGAAATGTCAATAATGGTGGCAATTAACATCCAGCTTCCAAATTTCTGACAACTTAACAGCTCTCAAGAGACCATATAAGCCAGCTCCAGCCACACCTCTTGGTCCCTCTCTCCTACTCACACCTTTCCAGGCATACCTTTCATTAAGTGCTCTTCAGTTAAATAGGTTAGTGTAAGCCATTTCTTGCAGCACCCTCACATTCCAAGGGTAGATGCAGGCATGTTAGAACTATGTGTGGACAGGACCAGCAGTTGGCATAATGACTAGGTCGCTGGACTCCCACGTGGTCGATGGCAGTTGGAGTCCCGGACCCGGTGGCTTAAACTCACACCGGGCGCGTGTGCGTGCATGCCCAAGACCCTGACAGGAGAATGGAGGTGAAGAGACTGCAGCATGGCCATCACCCCAGGGGTATGATTTTCCTTTTTTTGTCCATCTGTCTCTCTGGAGAGCATACATGCCCTATATAGCAAAAATATCTAAAAAAATTTGCTGAAAGAAAGAAAGAAAGAAAGAGAGAAATAAAATAGAAGAAAGAACTACGTGTGGACATCTCCAGGTATCAGCTGAGGTTCACTTGCAGGTGACATACACCTCTCTGGCTAGTTTTACACAGGGACTTCAACATGGGGAACCAGTTGCTTTCAAAATCACTTAAAGAGCTGGGAGAATGGAATATATGCTGAGACCTGTGGCAATGACTCCCAGAACACCACAGAGCTGACCCGCCCAGGGACCTACACAAGAGGAAGGCAGGAAATCAGGAAGTTGTTGACTCTACCTTCGGTCAGGAGCACACCACCCTTGCTGCCTGTGGTCCAAGTGTCAGGAAGTTTCCTCTCTAATGACTGGTTTCAGAGCTGTGCTGCAGCTGCTTGATCTGAAAGGCAGCCTTGGACCCAGTGGCATGCTAGTAAACGCTTAATGACAGGCTCTCGAGAGTCAGGGAGAATCCCTCCCTCCACCCCCTGAGTGGGGGTATTTCCTGACTCCCTTGGTGTACATACTCCCACCATGGCTGATTTTAAGCTACCCAAATGGCGCACCAGAAGGTGGAACTTCAACCAGATGCTTTCGATGGGCTGTCACGAGTAGGTACTGGCTGGCCCCAGCATACCACTGCTTGCACCTGCCTTGCATCATGCACAGGGCCCCTGCTAAAGATGACATGGACGCCGGCATCTCAGTGACTTGTGAAGAGAGTAAAAGTACTATATTTCACTTCACTTTGCCTTCCAAATCACTGGTGCAATGCTGGTGCAACTAACTGGCCAACTCAGCTCTAAACCACAGATATTGTAGAATGCTACTGCAAAAGGAGCCTGAGATATGTAGTGCATTTGTTTTGTTTTGTTTTTCAGTTTTACCATAGGACACATACACTCGTGAGAGGAGAGAGAGAGAGAGAGAGGAGAGGTCACTCCCAGAGGGATAGCCATAATCCTTTCTCCTTCATCCTCCTCTTGGGATTTTTGGCACACAAACACACACACACACACACACACACACACACACCCAGCATGAGTTTAAGCCACCAGGTCCACACACACACACACAGTGTGTTTTTCAAGTCACTGGGTCCAAGACTCAAAGCACACAGTCGGTCATGTGGGATTCGGCCACCTTAAACACCATGCCACCTGCTGGCCCCAGTGTAGTTTTTGCGTGTCCAACATCGCAGTAGGAGAAGGCTCACCAGATGAAGGTGGGGTTAGATTGATGAGGAACCAAACCACAGAACCACCACAGTCCTCTCTTGGATTGCTCGACTCCCATATATATGCTTCGCTTGATACGTAATGGTACCCAACACGTATTTTTGTTCCAGAAGCTATTTCGAGTGCCTTGCATACATTAATCCATTACTTAGGTTTTCAGATATTAATAGGAACATCAATCTCTGGCCTACCACAGTACAACTACCCTTTAAACAGATAAAAACACATCCACACTCTCCCCAACAGCAGAGACTGAAAGACCCACCCATCTCTTGGTGATGTTTGTTTCATGCACAGTACTGAGTTGATAACCTATAAAGTAGGGACTAAATGAGAATGTACAGGAACATATACAGAAAAAAAAAAAATGTCTACTCCAAAGGGAAAAACTTGCTATCCCTTGAAGAATAGAAAGGTTCTGGTATAACCCTTCCATCAGGTGTAGCCCTGCTATGTCCTGAATGTCTGTGTCACCCCAAAATTCATATGTAGAACCCTAATCCAGTCATCTTATCAGGAGATGAGGTCTTTGGGAGGTGATTAGATAATGAGGGCTCCACCCTCCTGGTTGGGTTTAATGCTTTTATAAAGGGGCTTGTAGGAGTGGGATTCTTTGCTCCTCCACTTTGTGATGCCTTCTGCCATGTGAGGACAGACCAAGAAGGCCCTCACTAGATGCCAGCAACTTAACCCTGGAGTCCCTGGCCTCCAGAGCAGTGGATAAATAAATTTCTGTTCTTTTTTTTTTGGGGGGGGTGGAGTGGGGGGGGGAGAGGTTTTTGCTATAGGGCGTGTGTGCTCGCCAGAAAGACAGAGAGAGACAGAAAGCAAGAAATCACTCCCCAGGGGGCATGGCCACGCCGCAATCCCTTCTCCTCCATTCTCCTCTCGGGATCCTGGGCACGCACGCACACGCGCCTGGCGTGAGTTTAAGCCACCGGGTCCGGGATGCAAACCGCAGTTGACTACATAGGCGTTCAGTGACATAGTCATTATGCTAACTGCTGGTCCCAATAAATTTCTGTTCTTTATAAATGATGCAGTCTCAGATATTCTGTTACACAAAGCAGACTAAAGGGACATTCTCCATCCTGGCCGATAGGGACAGCTGCTGAGCCTCGTCCTGCTCATATGCTGGGCAGTTTCCTTTCATTCTCTTGGGGAGGGTGGAGGGTTCTGTCCCCAGCCTCTGGTAGTTTCCTCATACACATGTGCTCATCAGTGGTCAACCTCATATTCACGCCAGTCCCTCTACAGATGTCCAGGTTTCTTTCCTTCTATGGCTCTCTCCTCCCTGGTCCTCTACCTGGTAAACTCCAGCTACCACAGTCCCTCACTGCCTGATAGCCAGTGTCATTTTAGACATTAATTCTTGATTGTAGATGAGAATTTAGTTCCTTTATGCCAGTACTTTGTTCCCTTTCTCATCCTACCAAGATGTTTTTTTTTTAAATAAAGAACCATTTATTTAATTGTATTCACTATTATTATTTTTTTTCCAACTTGCTGCAGGGCATGCATGAGAGAGAGAGAGAGAGAGAGAGAGAGAGAAAGTCGCCAGGTCTGGGACTCTAACTGCGGTCAGTCATGTGGGAGTCCAGCGCCTTAACCATCATGCCTCCTGCCGGTCCCACCTACCAAGATGGTTTTACATATTGTAAAATGGTTTACATACTTAAAAATTCACCCTTTCTAGGGGTACATACGTATGACTCTTGGCCAGTTCGTACAGTTGAGTAACCACCAACACAATCGAGATATGTAACATTCCTATCATTCGAAAAGTTATATGATGCCCCCTTGGTAGACAGCCCTCTCTCCCCATTGCCTGGCAAGTACTGATTTTATCTATGTCCCTAAAGTATCACCTTTTCCAGAATGTCATATAAATGGACACACACACACACACACACACACACACACAATATGAGGAGACTTCAAAAAGGTTGTGGAAAAATGGAATCAAAGTGCAAGTTTATTTTGGTGCATTTTTAAAAATACATGTGTAGTTTTTCTCATAATATGTATATTTCTATGAACATTTTCCCCCCTTTAATTTGCTAGAGGGCGCATGTGCTTGTGGGGAGGGGGGAGGAAAGAAAAGGACTGGACCCCCCAACACGGGGGATGGTCACACCACAATTCTTTCTCTTCCATCTCCCCTGTCAGGATTTTGGGGACACATGCACACAGGCTCAATGTGATTTTCAAACTGCCAGGTCTGGGACTCAAACCGCACAGTCAGCCATGTGGAATCCAGCTGTCTTAATCACCATGCCACCGGCTGGCCCTCCATGAACTTTTTGAAGACCTCTTGTATATATCTTTTGGTTTCTGGTGTCCTTC